AAAGTTGTTATGTTGTTTAAATAAGTTTAAATAAGTAATGTGGTTTAGTTGGTGGATTTAGTTGTTGGAATTAAGTCTAAACTAGTTAGAGTTAAAAAGTTGTTTAGCTGTTTAAATAAGTTCAAATAAATAATGTGGTTTAGTTGGTGGAATTGATTCAAATAAAGTTTAATTGAAAGTGATAATATGTTTAATAACTTTGTTGTCGGTGAAAGTAGTAAATCTGTAGAGCATAATTATGTCCAAGGTTCTAGAATGTCAAATATGATTGATGATTCTTTTGGGATGCATTCTGATTTTGAATTTGGGGGAAATGTAGAAGAAGCTCCCAATGAAGAAGCAAACATATTTTATAAACAATTGTGTGATTGTAGTCGGCCTTAGTTCAACGAGCGTCAACACTCTAAATTGTCTGTTGCAGTGATTCAAATAAAGTTTAATTGAAAGTGATAATATGTTTAATAACTTTGTTGTCGGTGAAAGTAGTAAATCTGTAGAGCATAATTATGTCCAAGGTTCTAGAATGTCAAATATGATTGATGATTCTTTTGGGATGCATTCTGATTTTGAATTTGGGGGAAATGTAGAAGAAGCTCCCAATGAAGAAGCAAACATATTTTATAAACAATTGTGTGATTGTAGTCGGCCTTAGTTCAACGAGCGTCAACACTCTAAATTGTCTGTTGCAGTTAGATTGTCAAGTATCAAATCTGTCATTAATATTTCTCAGGCCTAGCTAACTTTTCTTTTTGAATCAGGAAAAATTCTTCGTCTATGTCTAGGCAGCAGTGATGGATCTGATCAGAAGGGTGATGAGAATGATAAGTCTAATAAGGAGAGTGAGGGTGATGATAATTATAAGTTTGATAAGGAGAGTGAGGGTGATGATGAGTAGTTGTATCTATTTGACATTTTAAACTTCTATAGTTTTGGAATTGTTTGATCATATTTCAGTTTATTTTAAAGTTGGATGAAGTTTATTTTGAAATAGTTTAATGTATATGTTGAAAATATTGTGTTGTTCTGGTTGGATGAAGCTTATTTTGAAATAGTTTATTTGGAATTCGTTGGGTTGTTTTGGTATATATATGCAGGTGGGCATCTAAAATTGCAACAATTTGCTTCTAGTTTTGTAACAGAAAATCGACCTCCAGAGGTCAGAATCTCAAAAAAATAATAAAAATACCGACCTCCAGAGGTCAGAATCTCAAAAGTAAAAAATTAAAATACTGACCTTCGGAAGTCAGAGTATCAAAAATAAAAAATAAAAATACTGACCTCCGACGTTCAGAATCTCAAAAATAAAAAATAAGAATACCGACCTCCGAAGGTCAGAATCTCAAAAATAAAAAAATAAAAATACCGACCTCTGGAGGTTAGAATCTCAAAAATAAATAAAATAAAAAATAAAATATACCGACGTCCAGAGGTCGGAATTTAAAAATTAAAATATACCGACTTCCAGAGGTCGAAAATATTAAAAATTAAAAATAAAAAAATTAATAAATAGTATTCCAAAATATGAGAAATAAATATTCTAACCTCAAGAAGATGGAAATAATAAAAATAAAAAATAAACAAATATATAAAAGTGACCTCAGGAAGTCGGAAAATAATTTAATGAATTTTCCGACTTAAAATTAAAACTGATCTCGCGAGGTCAGTAAATACCGACCTCCATATGTCGGTATTGAATAGCGACAAAGCGTTTTCTGACCTAAGCTGGGAAGTTCGGTATTCACTATTTTTTTAGTAGTGAGACTCAGCTTATTGGTGATGTCAAATTAGCTCACTTTAATGTGAGGCATATTTATATTGACTTGGACAACGAAGATGATCATATTTCTGTGTGGAACAAGCAAAAGATGTACATTGAGGGTCAATTAATGAGACTCCAAGTTTGGACCCCCACCTTCACTCTTGAGGAAGAGACCCCCACTGTGCCTGCCTATATGGGTTACTTAACCACAGTTACCTTGGAATTGCTCTAACAGAGTGTTTTTGGCTATCTTCTTATCTCCTATTGGTAAAACTTCATATTTGGATCTTATATCTCTCCAAAAACTAGAGGTAGTGTGGCAAAAGTTAGGATACAAATAGACATTATGAAAGAAAGACCTCTTCATGTTTGGATGGGGTTTCATGAAGAAGACTTTATTGTGAGAAGATGGCAAGCCATCCAATATGAGGGACTACCAGAGTATTGTTCTTATTGCAAACACCAAGGTCACGTATCACAAGTTTGTAACATAAAGAGAAGAGATGAGGAATAAAAGAAGAGAAAAGAAGCTGAAGCTGCAAATAAAATCAAGGACAAGAAGACTGCAGGTGCCAGCAATCAGGTAATTCCCCAAACTTCTCCTCAACAGGTTAATGCTAATATGACTGCTAATGTTTCAGATGTTGAGGATACCCAAAAACAAATGCAGCAAACACAACCTGAGATGGACAAACAACAAATGGATGAGTGGCAAACTCTTTTGAAAAGCAGCAAGTGGAAAAGTCAGGTATTGATTTAACCCTCCCACAACCCCATTCCCCTGATAAAGTTGATCAAACAGGTCCATGTGATGGTAATCAGAAAGCTCAAAATAAACAGAGTAAAGATGGAAAAATAACCCCAGGTATTGAATCAATGCTCCCAAACCCCAAGAACCCCCTTGATAATAGTTTTTTGCTGTTGCCTGTTTCTGAAGTTATGGGAGGTGAGGTGGATGGGATCAATGAGAAACCTACTAAATTGCAGGAAGGGATATAACCAAAGGGAGGAATTTATCCCATGCTTTGTATTGGGAACCTTATGAATGACCCTAGGATGGACTTTAGAGCCCCTGCTACCACTACTCGAAGTGCTAATTTTGAACAAATTCAGAACATTACAGAAGGTGATCAGTGTGGTATCTCAATTGAGGCAGAAGGGTTGACAAACATTCAGAATGAGGGTGATAAGGCAGAACTTAATAAGCTTCAGATGATGGCAAATTCTCAGAAAATGGTTGAGAGCACTGGGGAAACCAGGTACAAAATCAGAGGTTAAAAGGTCCTACCAAGTCACAACTTGAAAACAAAAAAAGAGAGCTTCAGAAAGAAGATCAGTTAAGAAGTGAGGTTGTTACTTGTATTCAGTCTGTGGAACCAAATAATAGTAACCAAACCAAACAGGGAATCAGGAAATCAACAAACTTCAGCACACTCAATCCAATGATCCTAATGTATAGCCAGGAGGTAAACCTGCAAATAATAACACTCCTACCAAGAACAAGGATGGAGAAACTACTAAACCTCTTAATAATAAGTCTCAGCCTCAACTCAATAAAAAGAAAAGAGATGCAATAAAGAGAAGAAAAGAGAACGAGGAGGTTGCACGACAACAATCAATGAAAAAATTTATCCTGGTTAATGAGCAGGCTAGTTTGGATATAATGTCACACCCCGAGCCTACACCCTGGACGTGGCTGGAACTCGATGACCATTGCTGGCCTCAAGAGAACCCTTGGCCTGGCTTACTAACTCAACAGAAGACTTAACTCATCACATACACATTTATGAAGTAACTAGAATGTTATAAAGGAACATTCAACTGGCCATTAAGGCAAACTCAAGTCTTTAACATATGAAATGAAAAGTGAAGACAACTGAATTAACTAACTGACTGTCTATGAAGCCTCTAAACAACTGAGATGGATGTCGGTACAGGCCCACGACATCCTAATGAACTAATACTAAAATTGAAAGCAATGAAAATGAGTTCTCTAGAATGCAAAGAGGCTAACCAACAGACTCTGAACTGCTCACTGGATCAACGATGCGTCGGATGGCGATCCTAGTTACCTGTGTCTGCATCATAATAAGATGCAGGCCAACTAGCATCAGTACATTGAATGTACGAGTATGCGAGTTGGAATGCTAAACACAACTTAAGCTTGAAAAGAAACTGAAATGAAACTGAAGAACTTACCTGGCTCAAGTCAACTCAACATAACTGAACTCATTTCAATATAAAGCAGTTTTAAAACAAGTGCAATATAAAGAAAAGTTGTTTAAAACATGATGTCAACTCTGGGTGTATGCAAAGATACACTAAAACTCTGAAATGTAATGTAAAAATACAAATAACTATGTATATAAGAATACAAATAACTTATGTGGGAGTTTCTCAAACCGACAACCATCACTTAAGAGCTATAGTGATGATACAACGATCTTCCTCACGCTGCTTGCGCATCCTATACCTTGCCACATGTATAAGACCTGAACTACTAAGTGGATCCACTAGTCTATGCATAAATGATTCATCTAAAAAGTATGACACTTTTCTACCCATGATGGCTACATGGTTTATGGGGGCTGTGGGTTCTCTGAACGCTCTCCCATATCGGTGCTCAATACTACTCCTAAAATATGGTACTAACTCTTTATATTTAAAAACATACTTCTTCTATGATGTGAGATTAGTGCTCAAAATCTTAGCTCAAAGGCTATCTTGGAAATCAAATTTTCCCCTCTTGCTTCATTTATAAAGCGATTACTCTTTTCTGAAAACTAGCCCGAAGGCCCTTTGGAAATCGGGGTTTTCTTTCTTGTTTAAATGTGAAAACATTTTACACCCTTTGGGAATACATAGTCCCCATATACTTTTGAAGAAATGGACTTCAAACTTTACTCTTTACTCTTTATTCTTTACTTAACTTGAACTTTAAGTCTTAAAACAAAGTTAAAACATTTGGAAAAGACTTCTTGAAAAGACTCTAAGAACTTCCTAGATTTGGCTCTTAATTTTCCTTGAATTTGAATTTATGGATTCAAGGTTATGATTCATATTTCTGGATGATTTCTAGATGTTTAGAAGTCATTTAGAGTAGTTAGAATCAATGGAAAGTGTTAGTATACTTTAGAAAGGCTTAAACGGACTGAATGTCAAAAAATTGGGTGAAAAACGATGATTCGAGCGCATCCAGGGCGCGCCGTGCCAGGCCCCAACTTACTGGGGCTCATTTTTGGTGCACTGCAGGCACACCGCCCCAGCCTCCTAGCATTATGGGGGCGCGACGCGCCTATCCCTCACCAGGTGAGTCTGATGAAATTTTGATCTCATTTTCTGATCCTAAATCATTTTAATCCGTTTCTTTTTCTCAAATTCACTTTAGATTCATGTACCCAAATCATATACACAAACTCTAACCCAAACAACTCAAGGAAACAACACTTTAACATCAAGAAACTCCTTAATCCCAACTCATATTCAAGAACGAAATCAATTCAAGAACAACTATCAAGAACATCAAATTCTCAATCTTTTTATGACGAAAATACGCTGAATTAAATATGCTTGGCACGTGGGTGAACTAACCCAATGCTATGTTATCTCACATACCTGGTAGGAATAAACCCTTGGCGAAAATCCCAACTATCCTGATCGATCTTGATGAATCTTGTCCTCTCTCCTTCTTCTTTTCTCTTCTCCTTAGCCCTAACGTGAAATTCCAAATTCTAAAACTGAATAAAATCTGATTTGATCCATATTAAACTCGTAAAAATGGATTAAAATAATTGGACAAGGAAAAGAGTAAAATACCCCTTAAAAATCCGGATTGGACTTTTCCCTATTTGAACAGCCCAACTTCCAAAGGGAATATCTCACTCATACGAATTCGGAATTTCACAAACTTGGCGGCGTTGGAAAGATAATTCCAAGAGCTCTCCAACCATATCTATAAGTACACCTAAATAATCTTGATATAAGAGTTATGGACGTTTGAAGTTGACCAAAAACTCACTTTTCCTAACTTAAACAATTTTCCAGATTTTTCATTCTTTCCAAAAATGACTATTTCCAGTTCTTAGCCTCTTCTTAGCTATTTCAATTTGCGATATGTTACAATATATCTCCCTTTGGAACATTCGTCCTCGAATGCGATTACTCTTACTAGGCTAAGGGTGGTAACATCAAGTTCAAACACCCAACAAGCAAATGCAAACAAACAACATGCTCACTCATAATTTAAAGAGTACTAAAAAGAGAATTAGTACCTTGGTCTGCATTTTCTCCGTATCCAAAGAGATGT